CACACACACACACAAACACAAACACACACAAAAAAACAAACAAACACACACACACACACACAAACAAACACACTCACACACAAACAAACACACACAAACAAACACACACACACACACACACACACAAACAAACACACACACACACACACACACACACACACAAACAAACACACACACAAACACACACAAACAAACACAAACACACACAAAAAAACAAACAAACACACACACACAAACAAACACACACACAAACAAACAAACAAACAAACACACACACACACACAAACAAACACACACACACAAACAAACAAACAAACACAAAAAACAAACACACACAAACAAACACACACACAAACAAACACACACAAACACACACACACACACACACACACACACGTTTGAATATGAGTATTTACAGAAAGAACATTTATAAGATTTTGGGCAGATTTTCTTTAGGACAGTGTTCAACTAGACAACTAGCATGTGTATGTGTGTGTACCTGTACATCTCCATAGCGTGCTCGTCTTCTTCACTGAACTCGTCTTCATTCTCCTCCAGCTCCTCCAGGGTCATGTCCTCATAGGTCTTCACTGCAACAACACCATTGAACATTATACACTGCATCATCAATGAACTTAAAGAGCTCCTATGAGGCAAACTCAGTGTTCAGAAGCGGTCCGGACAGAAGTGTGTGTAGTACAGCGGCTCCACAGTCAGAGTGGGCCACATAGAGATTGCTAGATGCATGCTAAGGTGGTGCTGGGCAGTTTCATCAGTGAAACTGGGTTGTTGCTAGGGTGGTCTGAGTAATTTCTAGGTCAGTGTTTCCCCTACCGCACTCTCCAATGGCTGTACCCGCCGTTGAGGTTAATTGTATTAATTATATAGTGCCAGATCACATACATTCAAATGACTGTAATTTGGTCCACTTCTGGTGCTTCACACCTTTTTATAATGATAACAGTACTTTTACTTGAGTGTGATTTTTCAGAGAGAGAGAGAGTCAGTTTCTTACCCACAGACTGAGACTGAAGATGAAGCTGCTCATCCTCTTCTTCCTCCACCGGCGTTTCTTTCGGAGGCAGAATCCCCTTCTTCCTCAGGATATCGTTCCACTCGGTGTCTGCGTTTGGGTCCTACAGTCACAACACACACACACACACACACACAATATGATTAATCGATTCTGATTTATACCTTTTAATCCATCTCAGCATGAATCTACATTTATCCTTTTCTCATCATCTTGTTTCTCATGATTTTTATTAAATATAATTATTTGATAATATGAAGAGTATTAAATTTTAATTAATGAATAGGTTAACACATTGCCTAATGTAAGAATGTTCAGTGCATTTGCCGGTCTCTTTATAACTATTTTCAGGAGCCACCAAACGAGGTCAGAGGTCACGGAGGCCTAGAGTGGAACTGAGGGCTGAGGACTGGAAGCAACCGTTTCTACTGTTATTTCTAGGAGTTAATACTGTCTTAAATCTCTAAAGTGATTCTGCTCACATGTTTACTGCTCCAAAATATTTTAAATGTTAAAATAAAATATGCCGTGTTCAATGGGGGAAAAAGTTGAGTTTATTTAACTCATACATTTAAAAGAAGGTCTCTGGTTTGAGTCTCGGCTGGGTCAGTTGGTGTTTCTGTGTGGAGTTTGCATGTTCTCCCTGCTATCGTGTGTGTTTCCTCCGGGTGCTCTGGTTTCCCCACACAGTCCAAACACATGCGGTAGAGGTGAAGTGGGTAAGCTAAAAAATGTTCCATAGTGTACGAGTGTGAGTGTGAATGAGCGTGTGTGGATGTTTTCCAGTGATGGGTTGCAGCTGGAAGGGCATCCGCTGCGTGAAATCATATGTGCTGGATAAGTTGGCGGTTCAGTGCGCTGTGGCGACCCCAGATTAAAAAAGAGACTAAGCCGAAAAGAAAATAAATGAACATTTAAAATATATATATTTCAGAGCAGTAATCACAATACTGTGATAGTTTTATCCAAGGTTATCACACCGTCAGAGTCTTATACCGGCCCATGTCTGACCTCAATAAGATTCATTCATTCATTTTCTTTTCAGCTTACTCACTTTATTTATCCGGGGTCGCCACAGCGGAATGAACCGCCAACTTATCCAGCATGATTTAACGCAGCGGATGCCCTTCCAGCATAGCATAGAAGCTTACATGTATTGTTAAATTCTAATTCTTATATTTTAAGTATTCCCTATTATATTTTTATCCTGGAGAAAGGCTTATTTCTTAAAGTTTGACCGTAATAAAAAAAACTACCATATAATCAGTTAAAGCTGCTGTGGTCAATAATAATCGCCCCTTTGGGAATTGAATCTCTCGGGTATTTTCTCCACAGAAATGTGATTGATTTGCGTTTACATCAGCAACCAGATCCACAGAAGACAGCTCTGGTGTTCCTGCAGTCTTCAGTTTGACGATATGAGCTCAATAATAACCAAACAGATCATATTTATACACATAAACTGAAGATTACAGCATAGAGTGATCAAACTATCACTGAGGAGAATAACCAGCCTCGGCCGACACCCACACAGACACCGCGAGAGTCATCAAAACCGCTTTATTACTAGTATAATCTGAGTTATACAGTGAGATATTAAATATGAATCTGCCATACCTGCATGCCTGCTGATGTTTCTTCTCTGTGTGTGTGAATCACTCCACCGGAAACACCACGAGCGGCCCTCTATTTCTTCCGGCCGGACACACGCCGCGTCTCGAACATCACATAAAAACCCCGGCCTTAATGCAGGGTTTCTTCTGGAAACTTTACCGTGTAACCAAAACACAGACATCTGCATCAAGACAAAGGTGTGTGCTTACTTTAACTGGTGAGTTGAAGTGTTTAAACTCATGCGGGAGGGAAGCGTGTAGGACGATTATTAATGCTGCACCGACTTCCGCTGTGAGTCTCTATATCCATATATGGTGTTGTAGTGAAGCGCACGTGATGTCCAGATCGCGCTGTCAATCAAAACGCAACAGGCGTGAGACCAGACACACACACACACACACACACACACACGGTGTATCGATGATGTCATAGTTTGATCCGTGCGGATCTATAACAGTGTGTGTTTCTGGATTTGTTATTCTTTTTAAAAATAGAACTGTCCCAAAACAATAACACACACGAACACACACACACACACACATACACAACTACACTCCAACACACACACACACACATATTTACACTCAAGTTCACACCCTCAACACACACACATATGCACACAAAAAAACACCCCTCCCACACACAAACATTTACACACACTGCACACACACACACACACACACATACACTTCCAACACACTAATATATTTACACATACTCTCATAGACACGAAACACGCACACACACACACACAGTAAACAAAACATGTTATCATCTTCCAACCCAGATAGCAGGCAGTAATCGGCCCGAGCTCGGCTGCCCTCCGGCGCCTCCGGCTCCGACTCGGCATCGGCGAGTGTTATCCGGGCCGAGTGCGGCCCGCAGCTCGCTCGCGCACATGCGGTTGTGATGCGGCTGTAAAGCACTGGCCCGATTCCGGTCAACCATATGGCAACCGATTAAGGCTGATGGCAACCGATTTAAGTTCTTATTTTATCTAGTAATCTGTTAGCTCCACGTTTAATGATAATTTGAGAAAATATTCATGGTACGATAGAAAAAAAAAAAAAAAAAAGAATATTTAGTGTGGATGGTCGCAATGTTTAGACGCAAACAAAACAATATTATTTATAAATAGATTATACATGTCATCTAGAGAAAAACTATGTAAAATTCGCTTATTTTTGAGATAGCACGCTCCTGTGCTGACTGTTTTTTTTTGTTTTAAAGCAGAAGTTGGTTTCATAATAAACACATGCGTGACTAAACCTCATGATCCAAACTCCCAATCCAGACGGTGGCGGTAATGCTCCAAAAAGCTGGTTGTCAACCACCATGGCACGAAGATCACAAGAAGAAAAAGTTTGGATTTTCAAAGAATTCACGTGGAATCCGGTCAGAAAGGTAAGCTTTTTACTGCTTGTGTACTGTATAATTAGCGAATTTAGAGCTTAAAACATTTCCACGGTGTTTGGTTGTAACAGCGTTTAGTAATTTACAACAGTTTGATACGAAATGTAACTTGCTTTAAGAAACACGACTGGAGCTAATGTATGCTAACGCTAACAGTTACAAACACGTCTGAAAGTTCCTGTTCCTTTTACACAATGTTAGATTGTAACGTGTGTAGTAACTGAAAACTATTTTAATTATTTTAAAGAAACATGAAACGAATTTGTGTGTATGCTAACTTTGCGTTAAAGTTACTGTAGACGAATCCATTACCATGGCAAAACGTGTTTTTTTTCCTAATTTAACATTATAAAGTACCGTGGATGTTGAAAAAATCATTGTACAGGCGTTTACTTATCCAACAGTATTAATTCTGTGATTGTGTAAATAAAAACTAATCGTTTTGGATTAATAAAATATTATTGTTTATCTTGTTTATGCAGTTAGGCACGAAAAGTGATCGAAACTCGACTGTTTACTATTCTCTTTAAATTATCCAAGAGAAATATATTACTATGCACTTTAATTCATATGTGTTAGCCTATGTGAATCAATTATATCTTTTGCTCAAGCT